TTAAGTGAGTTTTGCCCCATTTTCTTGCAACGTTTGTTAAGGGAATCACTGCAGGTGTTAAGTTAGCAACATCGTTGTTAAGTGACTCTGGCTTTGCTCGTGAGAAGGTCACAAAAGGGGATCACATAACCCTGGGACACGCAAGGGTCATAAATATGAGTCAGTTTGTCAAGTTTGTAAATCACGTGACCATGGCGGATGCTGCAACGGTCATAAGTGTGAAAAATGGTCATAAGTCACTTTTTTCAGTGTTGTCGTGACCTTGAACGATACTGTTTCAACAGCTGTTGTTAAGTCGAGGACTACCTGTAGAGATTGGTCAAGATACAACGTTTACTATTAGGCACATATATTGTGGTTGGGCTCCTTCAAATTCAGGCCACCCAGAGTGCATTTATATTTAAAGAATATCTCACCCCCCAGAATGAATTCTCACTGCACTACAGTCATATAGGGATTCTGATCAATTTTAATCCTACATTTTCTGTACTCACAGTGCCATAATATTCAATACTAGAAGTACTATGAAAATGGCTATTCAAAGATTCTCCTGGAAGATAATTTTTAAAAAACACCCCCCGCCAAAAAATATAGATATTTATATCCAGGTGCAAATCATCTTCAATCGACAAAACCTTTCCCCTAATCTGCACATTGATAAGAATAGAAGAGTGGATTTATACTTGGTAGTACAAAGAAATGGAGAGGAAACATGTTTTGCAAGTTTAGGTGGTCAAATATTTTAAAGAGGAAGAAAGTTTCAATGTTGCAAATAATTTCTATAATTCTGCCTCCAGATTTTGGGCACTCAATCTATACAGGGAATGCCAACCTATCATATATACATAATTTTTTTTCTGCACTGCAATCTTGATTTCACGGGGGATGCATTCCACTGCATTTTACATCCCAGAATAATAATGATAATAATAAATGCAATGATTGTGCCCACATGCCCTATAATACCAAACAAATACACTGGGATATTCATTTATGAAACAACCTCGATCATTGCATGCGCTTAGAAGCTGATGTGTTCCTGTAACACAATAAGCCATAAACTTTTCAATTTTAGCCTCATCGTGGGGACCTGGTCCTTGTCTCCCCTCCAGAAATGAGCCTCCCCAGAGTTGTGATCACATAACAGGAAATTAGCCTCTTTTTTTTTTTTTTTTTTTTTTGCAAAAAGTGATTTTACGCAGAGGCCAATTTGCATACATTTACATTGAACTTTAAAAAAAAATTAAAAAGGGAAACAAGAAAGTTGCAAACAGTTCCAACGTTTTGCTCAGATCCCTCATAGGCATCGGATGGGATCTGATAGGATCAACTGCTTCGGAGGGCTCTGGCAGCAGGATTCGAACAGTGAAACAAGGCTATGCCTCCCCTCCATTCTGAAACTAGAGGAGGATTGCAACATCCCCAAAAAGGCTCTCGTGCCATTATGAGACAGGACCTGGGTCTTTTTCAGTGCTGCTCTCCAAGAAACTCTTTGTCCAGTCAATTAAGAATGCACAAAGGTCTGGTTGCATAAAGGAGCAGGCCTTCTGCAATTCTTCCAACCGTCCCATCCTCCCCCTTTTTTTGTTTTGGTTTATATATTTTGCTCAAACTTAAGAAGTAGCACAATGTCTTGGGGGTGGGGGCAGGGGAACAGAAGCTATTTTATCCCGCTGTTACGCCAGGGATAATGCATATCAAATGGATTGAAATGAAGGATCCCTGGGTCCTTAACTCTAAATGCTTTTATTGATTTTTCAGAAGCATTCATCACAAGGAGCTCGGAGGCCCATCCATCGTGATCCCAGGAGTGACAAAACAAAACCCAAATCCTCAAGAGAGGCTCTTGAGACCAATACAAAAAAAAAAACAAAAAAAAAAAAAAACCAAGAAGGTTTTTTTTCATTCTGTTCAAATCGAGTTTGCAATAGACTTGAGACCATCGTGCATGGCAAATCGCAAATACACACACACACACACACACACACACACACACACACACCCCTTGCTAATATATATATATATATATATGAACATCAAGAATGACATCAAGAATGACTACTAGCCGGTTCACAAACCATGAATCCAATGAGTTGTAAAAATAGCTAATTGGGGAAGAAACTTGCAAAAAGGCAACCAGGAAGAAGCCAAAGATTGAAGGCAAACTTTCTCTTCCATACAGTATTTATTCCTGCCCCACCCCACGTAAAAGCAGCACTTTTGATTTAGCTAATAAACGCTACCGTACAATGTTCTGCCTGTTTATTGTCCAGACATTTGCAAGGATCTGACTCTGAAATGATCCTTTTTTTTTTTTGGAGGGCTGCTCAAAAGGGGAAGGAACCCCCCAAGAGGTTTACTTTAAACCCCTGATTTCAAATCTCACTGCTGTCTTCTGAGATTGCATTCAGGAGAACCCAAATTTGCAGGAAATTATTATTCACACGAGAGAAGAAATGAAGGGGGGGGGGAAGGATGAGAAAATAAGGACAGCTAGAAGGCTGAAATGGGATCATAGCATCAACCGCCCCTGACTTCACTTTCAACATTTTATTTTTATTTATTTATTTATTTTGTCAAGTACGTATTAGGTAACAGATATAGGAATAAACATGGTTATTAATATATGAAATGGATACGAATAAAAGGGGGATATTAGGGCAGGGACGGTAGGCACTTACAGACCTCTTAGGAATGGGATGAAGTCAACAGTAGACAGTCTAAGGTTAAAGTTTTGGGGGTTTTGGGAAGAAACCACAGAGTTGGTTTCTCTGTTGCTGAAGTCCTATTTTCTGCAATCGAGTTTGGAGCTGTTTATCTTAAGTTTGTATCTATTGTAACATGGTGGAAGTGAACCCAAATTTGCAGGAAATTATTATTCACACGAGAGAAGAGAAGAAATGTAGAAGAAGAAGAAGAAAAAGGATGGAGAAATAAGGATGAGTAGAAGGCTGAAAATGGGATCAGAGCATCAACTGACTTCACTTTCAACACGGTGAGGTTGTATCTGGGAGAGGAAGGGGCTATAAGAACAGAAACTTTCTGCAGAAGGACAGAAGGGGCTCAGACAGAACCAGAGGCCACAAAGCAAGACACAGAGGGGGAAATACCTGAACCTCAATTCATCATTTGGGTTTTTATTTTATTTTTTTTTCTCCAAGGTTTTTTTTTTTTTATAGCCGGTCAGCTTTTGTTCACTTTTTGCCTTTGTGAAATCTAGACCCCCTTTGAAGTCACAAAAGCAGATACGCCGCCATGGACTTCAAAAGCAGAAAAGCTTTCAGCCCTTGGAAAGTCAAAATTTCTTTCGTACCCAATTCCCATAATAGAAACTATTATTAAAAAGTAGAGGGGGAAGGCAGGAAAAAAGCAGCGTGAACTGGGGCCCAGGCTTTTCAATCCATTGTGGAACAGAGCTGGGCTCATCTTCCAGAGTCTAGCAAAAAAAAAGTATTGTCTGAACTAAGGCTGAAGCCAGCCTGAAAGAAACTTTTAAACTCCTGGCTGCTGTCAGCCTTTGCCATTTAAAAATCAGAACCTTAGGATCTCTTAACAGGGAAGGAAGGGAAGGGACTGGCGAAGAGAAATACACCGAATAATTATAATTAAAACCTCTCAGGTTGTAGCAAGGCTGCTGAATTTCAAAAGAGAAGCCAGCAGTTCCCCACGCGAGTGATTTGTGCCTGTTCAAAGCAAAACTTTACTGAAGGGGGGGGAAGCACCAGGAAGGACCAAGGAAGCAACCGGGGAAAGCAGAGGGACAACTCCAATGGAGAAAGGGATGGGGGTGGAAGTGGGGGGCTGTTTCCAGCTCAAATGATTTGGGGCAATGTTTATTCTCAGCAGAGCAGGCAGCGGCACAAAGTTAGTTTATTTATTGAGCATATGGCAGCGGCACGAAGGAAATAAATGAAAACCCCGAAGGGCAAAAGATGCGGATGCGAGGAGGAACAGGATGGACTCGGGAATGGAGGCAGAGCAGGAAAGGACTGCCTTGGGCAGCTCTTTTTTATTTATTTATTTATTTATATGCCGCCCTTCTCTGGAGACTCAGGGCGGCTTACAAGGCGTTAAGCAATACCCTTCATACTTTTGTATATTTTATACAAAGTCAGCTTATTGCCCCCATAATCTGGGTCCTCAATTTACCCACCTTAGAAAGGATGGAAGGCTGAGTCAACCTTGAGCCTGGTGAGAATTGAACTCGCAGTAATTGCAGGCACCTGGAAGCTAAATACTACCTTTAACACTAGCATTAGTCTGCTGCGCCACTCAGGCTCTCCAGCCCTCTGCGGGGTGGCCGGGTGAATAATTAGGCTTTGGACCGGGTGGATCGGGTGGAAGGAAGGAATCTTCCTCCTGGCTTGGCTAATTGGATCCATTTTTACTAACCACGCAACCTTTCTCCCAAATTTCATCCCGCTCCTCTCCTCTCCTCTCCTCTCCTCTCCTCTCCTCTCCTCTCGAGGATTTCCCACTTTCATCCCATCCCAAGCAAGTTGGGAAAGGCCGGCCGGGATGGGGGCTCCCTAGGTGGCTCAGTGGCTCAAGACGCTGAGCTTGTCGATCAGAAAGTACGGCGGTTCGAATCCCTACTATAGGTCTACTGCGTGAGCAAGGGGGTTGGACTAGATGACCTCCAAGGTCCCTTCCAACTCTGTTACTGTTACTTCGAGAGGGATCGAGTCTGCTCGGGGATGGGAAACTAATTTTCCTGCCATCAGAACCGAAGGAGCTCCTTGGATGAGAAGCGAAACGTCTTCAAGCAAAACACACACACACATACCCCCCAAAAAGAGCCCAGTTGCCTTTGGAGACAAAAGCACATTTTGGGGGAGGGGGATATCTATTTCCAACCAGCAGCTGCGATGGAGACGGGGCGGAGGGGCGAAGGGGCTCCAAGCGAGCGCAGCGCAGGGATCCAAGCGGGGCCGCGGGCGGAGGGCAGCGGCGCAGGTGGAGCGCCACCTCCTTGAACCCCGAGACGGACCCCCTCTTACCTGTACCAGAGCAGCCCCTTCTCGTAGCAGCGGTCGAAGAAGTGCGGCTCTGCCCCGACGGCTCGCACGTCCGGGTGGACGCGCAGGAACTCGAGCAGTGCGCGAGTCCCGCCCTTCTTCACGCCGACGATGATGGCCTGCGGGAACTTCTTCTGGCCGAAGCCGCTGGCTACGGGCAGAGCCCCGGCCGGAGCATCGGGGAGCGAGGGGTCCTCCTCGGGGCCGGCGGCGGCTTCGTCTTCCTCCTCCTCTTCTTCCTCCCCGGGGGGCTCGGGAGGGCTGTGGGGGAAGAGAGGCGCCCGGGGGGCCGGGCGGGCTTGGGGGTGCCACCCGGGCGGGCCTGGGCGTCGGAGGGGCTGGCAGGGGCCGGTCAGGCAGTAGAAGAAGTAGGTGCAGAGCAGCAGCATGGCCAGGGCGAGCGGGGCGCGCGGAAGCCCCCCCAGAGGCCCGCCGCGGCTACATCCCATGGGCGGTGGGCGCCCCCGGGCAAGGCGAGGGCATCGCTCCTCCGGAGGGCGCGGACCGGGCAGGTCCCCTCGCCGCTCCCTAGGCAGCCGAGCCGGCCAGGTGTCTTCCCCCCCGCGCTCCGGTCCTTGGTGCCCCGGGCGCCTTTCAGCGCCTCTGCTGCCCCCCAAGACCGGTCCTTCCTCCGGCGCCGCCCCCACTTGCCCTCCCGGCGCGGAGGCGGGAGCCCCGACCGGCTTCTTCTGCTTCTTCGCTCGCCAGCCCAGCATTCAAGACCAGGCGGGGCGGGGCGCGGCGAGGCGGGGCTGGAGAGACGCACCTTCCTGCCCCCGCGGCCGGGGTCCCGGGCCGGCTCCGGCTGGCCATCTGGCAGGCGCCCCGCTTTCCCACGGAGCTTCCCCTGGGAAGGCAGAGAGAGTCCCCCCTCCCCACGCCGGCGCCACCCCGGGGCACATGCCTTGGGGAGCAGCGCGGAGAGGAGGCTGCCATCCGAGGAGACGCGCAGCGGGGCTGCCCGGCTTCGTTTCAGTCTCCCCCCGCCCCCCAGCCGGGTGCAACCTCCTTCTCCTTCGAGGGTCTCCAGCCCAAGGCCGTGCGCTCCCAGGATGCGAGGATGGGGGCTTCTCCTGGGGAAAGGGGGCGGTGGTCGCGAGCGATCCTCTAAAGGCGGCGGGCAGTGCGCTGCACCCCTTCCCACACCCCGGGATGCGGGGATGGGGGCTTCTCCTGGGGAGGGGGGCGGTCGCGAGCGATCCCCTGCAAGGCGTTGGACGTGCGCTGCGCCCCTTCCCACCTCCCCGGATGCGGGGAAGGGGGCTTCTCCTTGGAAGGGGGGGGGAGGTCGCGAGCGATCCTCACCAAGGCGGCGGACGTGCGCTGCGCCCCTTCCCACCTCCCGGGATGCGGGGATGGGGGCTTCTCCTTGGAAGGGGGGGCGGTCGCGAGCGATCCTCAGCAAGGCGGCGGACGTGCGCTGCGCCCCTTCCCACCACCCGGCTCGATCCTCGACGGCCGCCGCTTTTGTTCACGCAGCCTCTCCCGAGAGGGGGAAAAATCTCCTCGTCTTTGGCGCTGATCGGAGTTGAAAAATTGACCTGCCCTTAAAATGACGTTGATCCATAAAGGTATCTTTTCTTCTAAAGAAAACCAGGAAAACCAACTGTCTTCTTCACACAACTTGCAAACCTTCGACCCCATTTATTTTTTTAGCACGATTGCGGAGTTCGCATAATGTGCACGACCCAAATGGAGCCCAGAGGTTGAGCTAGATGATGGATGGATGGATGGATGGATGGATGGATGGATGGATGGATAGATAGATAGATAGATAGATAGATAGATAGATAGATAGATAGATAGATAGATAGATAGATAGATAATAGAATTCTTTATTGGCCAAGCGTGATTGGACACACAAGGAATTTGTCTTTGGTGCATATGGTCTCAGTGTACATAAAAGAAAAGATACATTTGTCTTGACAAATGTATCTTTTCTTTTATGTACACTAAGACCATATGATTCTTGAATCATAAACACTTAATGTTATAGGGTACAAATAAGCAATCAAATCATACTAGGAAACAATATCAATATAAATCATAAGGATACAAGCAACAAAGTTGCAGTCATACAGTCATAAGTGGGAGGAGATGGGTGATAGGAACGATGAGAAGATTAATAATAGAGCAGACTTAGTAAATAGTTTGACAGTGTTGAGGGAATTATTTGTTTAGCAGAGTGATGGCGTTCGGGGAAAAAACTGTTCTTGTGTCTAGTTGTTCTGGTGTGCAGTGCTCTATAGCGTCGTTTTGAGGGTAGGAGTTGAAACAGTTTATGTCCAGGATGTGAAGGGTCTGTAGATATTTTCACAGCTCTCTTTTTGACTCATGCAGTATACGTCCTCCATGGAAGGCAGGTTGGTAGCCATTGTTTTTTCTGCAGTTCTAATGATCCTCTGAAGTCCGTGTCTGTCTTGTTGGGTTGCAGAGCCAAACCAAATTAAGGACTCTGTCCCAGAATCTTATGGCCTGCTGTTGTGCTGAGCTACTTTTGATAGATTTCTTCATATTCTTTGTGGTGTGATTCCCTCACTTATGTGGCTGCTCCCTTTCCTGCTTCACAATTAATTTGTTTTTAAAAAACTAATTTCACTTGTCTAGAAAACGTCAATTCTTGTGCCGGCTTCAAAGTTAATGAAGGTGAGAAGCAGACAAAGGAGGTGGGTGTGTATATAGTTATACACGTTGAAAGTATAATTCTGAAGATACTTATCGGATGAAAAAAAAATCCCATTGCAGTCAGTGAACACAAGTTAATATTCACGGACACGCAAAGCGTTTCTTAAGAATTAACATTCAATTTATACACTTGCATCAGATATTAAGATGGGAGAAGATTATGACGTCATTGCAGTTTGGCCTATAGACTTTGGAAATGAGAGTGTTATGATGCAATTGCTAAAAAGCTTCTATTCTTGAGTAGCATAAGGCCAAATTCAGCCAAATAATTGTCCCATTGCTTCTTTCCTGCTAGTCAAACTGCAGCTGGAATATTTGCTCTGTTGTGAGCCCCACATTTAAAAGGCAAGCCCCTCAAACCTGGGACACTTCCTGGGGGGAGGAGGAGGAAGAGGGGAGGGTAAAACCCGGAGAGCCCAGTCAGGCAGGGTTTGGTAGATCTGAGGCTAGGAAAGGAATAGCAATTAAATTCAATGTAGAGAAAAGTAAAGTCTTACACTTAGGCAAGAAAAACCACAAGTACACATATAGACTGGGTGAAACCAGGCTTAATAGCAGTAACTGTGAGAGGGATCTTGGCATCTTAGTGGACAACCAATGAAATATGAGCCAGCAGTGTGCAGCAGCAGCCAAAAAAGCCAATGCAATCCTGTGCTGCATTAACAGAGGGATACAATCAAGATCAAAGGAGGTACTAATACCACTCTGTAAAGCCTTAGTAAGACCACATCTAGAGTACTGTATCCAGTTTTGGTCACCACACTATAAAAAAGATGTTGACACTCTAGAAAGAGTGCAGAGAAGAGCAACCAGGATGATTATGGGACTGGAGGCTAAAACACACAATGAATGGTTGCAGGAACTGGGCATGGCTACTCTAGTGAAGAGAAGGACCAGAGGAGACAGGATAGCAGTCTTCCAACATTTGAGAGGCTGCCACAGAGAGGAGGGGGTCAACCTATTTTCCAAAGCACCCGAAGGCCAGACAAGGAATCATGGATGGAAACTGAACAAGGAGAAGTTCAACCTGGAAATAGGGAGAAATTTTCTGATAGTGAGAGCAAACCCAAAACCTGCAGCCCTTCTTCGTACGGTTTAGCCTCCAGGCCTTTGATCATCTTAGTTGCTCTTCTCTGAACTTTTTCCAAAGTCTCAACTTCTTTTTTATAGTGTGATGACCAAAATTGGTTGCAGTATTCCAGGTGTGGTCTTACTAGGGTTTTATAAAGCGGTGCTAATACTTCATGTGATCTTGATTCTATGTGTATACAACCCAGGATTGAATAAATGGAAATACTGTTGTTCATTGTGGGTAAGGTTATATTATGAATCTGTCAAGAAGAAGTCAGATTGGAGGTGGAGAATCAGTGCCTGGATTCTCCTCGGACAACAAAGGGGCACAAGAAAGAGATATTTTTCAGTTGCTGTGACTTTCACTTGTCCCTTCACTTGTCCCTTCACTTGTCCACTGTAAGGATGCAGCAGCTACTGGTTCTCATTTGATGGCGACGGAGGTAATTTTGCTGTTTTTAATCAATATATGAAGCAAAACTCACTTGCCAATTACAGTTGAAAGTTGAACGCTCAACTATCTGAACTTCCCAGTCCTCTGAGTTGGTTGCTTCTTTTTATAAAAAGCAAGTTTATTGGAACAACGTCTGTGCAAAAGACTGCATATAATTATATTGATATTGTTTCCTGATTGCTTATTTGTTCCCTATGACAAGTGTTTCTCAACCTTGGTAGCTGGAAGATGGGTGGACTTCAACTCCCAGAATCCCCCAGCCAGCGCTGCTGGCTGGGGGATTCTGGGAGTTGAAGTCCACCCATCTTCCAGCTACCAAGGTTGAGAAACACTGCCTATGACTATCATTAAGTGTTATACCTTATGATTCTTGATGAACATATCTTTTCTTTTATGTACACTGAGAGCGTATGCACCAAAGACAAATTTCTTGTGTGTCCAATCACACTTGGCCAATAAAGAATTCTATTCTATTCTATTCTATTCTATTCTATTCTATTCTATTCTATTCTATTCTATTCTATTCTATTCTATTCTATTCTATTCTATTCTATTCTATTCATATTTATCAAAACAATGCAGACAAATGCATTACTTTAGGAAAAATTGATGGGAAAACTGTCAATGGAGCAAACTGACAATCAAAAGACATAGAATTGAAGGTGCCACAACACCAATTAATGAATGGAAAAACGAGGAAAAAAAAACAAATGAAATGGAAACAGATGCTTTTAGCTTTTTCATCTACCTCGCCTCCCCTCCAAGGTTCACCCAAGTCTTACCAAATACTTTTCACAGAAATACGGTATAGTAACAAAGAAAAGTATTACAACATCTCAGAATCTACAGCAATGCTTTCAACAGTCTTGGAAGAAAACAGAATAAAGGGTTTGATTTCTGCATTTCTGAGACATCTGGGAAAAGTGGAGGAGAAAGGAGAAAGAAAAAAAAAGGAGAAATGAGAGGAAGAGAAAGAGGAGGAGGAGGAGATAAAGAAGGAGGAGAAGAAGAAGCAGAAGGAGGAGGAGGAGGAGGAGGAGGAGGAGGAGGAGGAGGAGGAGGAGAAGAAGAAGAAGAAGAAGAAGAAGAAGAAGAAGAAGAAGAAGAAGAAGAAGAAGAAGAAGAAGAAGAAGAAGAAGAAGAAGGAAGAGGAGGAGGAGGAGGAGGAGGGCAGGAGGAGGAGAAAGAAAAAAGGAAAAATGAGAGGAAGAGAAGGAGGAGGAGGACGAAAAGAAGAAGAAGAGGAGGGGGGAGGAGGAAGTAACACTATAAGAATAAAAGTGTCACCATGCCAAAAATAAACACACCATCTGTGAGTAAACTTAAAAGTTATACAAAAGTTTGAATCAGCCAAGGGAGATCTTCTTTTTTTCCCATGGCAAAAGCAACAAAACAAATGTGGTGTTTTGATGAGGTATATACTGTATGTTTGTAATTTATAATCTCCCTTGAACTTTCAAGATACTGGCAGGATACAAATCAAAGGCAAATGCGCAAATGTGTCTC